CTCAAGGCACACTAAAGATCATCAATGAGAGCCTTTAATATCTCTGAAATAAGAGAACCGAGAGATAAAACTACTGATTACGTACTTAAAGCAAAAACACTGAAGCAGTATCTGTAGATGTGCAAAATGCATATGAAGTCGCTTTCAGGTCTGGGAAGTCTGAGGTTATACCATTTCATAAGATAGATATAATATGAGGGAGCTCAGTTCTAAATTTTTCCTTTTATGCCAGTGACAGCATTGAATGAACCTGTGGATTTATGCCCCGATGATTTTAATCCTTCAGATTAAATGAGAAATTGCTGGTTGAGGCTCTAGTTAAACTGTCTCGGGCAGGTTTTATTGTGCCTTGGATGTGATGAAAGCCTGAGCACAGTGACGCAATGGGGAAAGGCAGGAGCTTTTACCAGAGCTTTTTGGTATGCTCCTTCCACAAGGTTATGAAGATGCAAAGGCCTATCACCCCTTCAAATGCCCGTTTCCTTCACTGCCTTGAAATCTGTATGGGCTGGGAAGCTGCTGTGTTAACATTTCTGCAAGGGAGTTGAACTCTCTGACTCCTGAAGGCCCTGATTGCTATCAGCCAGGTCAGCAAGGCTGCAGCAAAGGAGGCAAAGGGAGGAGAAGGGCAACGTGCTGCTTCTCCTGGAGATGTTTAGCTCTATAGGCTGCTCTGCGGTACCACTTTGAATAGCATGCTCAACTTCCATCACGGAAAAAAACCACAGTATGACAGGGATGGCCAGACACAATTTCCTATGCGTACAAATACTAGAATCTGGACCTGGATGTGGTTTCAGTTAACAAGCAAAGGAATACTTGGGGCATAGCCTTAAGGCTCTGTGTTTCCTTGCCACTTTTAGACATTTCCAGACAATGAACTGGGCTTTTGCAAACTGAATACTGAGGGCTAATCCTGAAGGCCTGCCTCTCATGGCAGGTTTCTTAGTTCCACGTTTTCTAAAGTGGGAGTTTGCCCTCAGTCTTACTTGTTTCTTGATCTTGTACCATAGCCTTTTCAGAACCCTGAATTCAGACTTGTAATCTGTTTTGAAGGCAGTTTGGGGTCAATTCTCTGCTTAGTTTTGCTCTGGTAGCCAAAAAGCTAGATCAGTAGTGGCTATAAACAAGGCATTCTTGCAGGAGGCTGCTTTGAGTCCCAGATATCTCCTGCCTGCCTTCGGGTGACATTTCCTTCCCAGGGATGGGAAATGGATGTGGCATCTGGTTGCCCCTGTGGTGTCCCCAGCTTTTAGCAGTCCCTCACTCAGCACACAGACTTTCTCTCATGCTTGGTTTCCATAGCTGTGATTTTAAAGGTTGGGATCTGCAGTATCTGAGTCTTGTAGGTCTTGGGGAAGGGCTATCAAACTCTGCCTTACTTACTAAATAGTGTCTGCGGAAGGGAGCAGTACAGATACTTCAAACTTGGAGACAGATCACAAGAGACAGCTGTTTATATTTATGTAGATGGTTTATGTGCTGTTTAAAAAGGCAGCTGAATCATCTACAAATAAACAGGCATCCTTTTTTAGCAGTGCTTTAACCCTCATCCTGCATGAGGAATTTATTTGATAAAAATCTTGACCTTCTTTTTTTGCCTATATTGCTTTTTTGCAACTCTAACTAGAGCAACTTCACAAAACCTGACAGACAATCGTGTTTTGACTGTGAGTAGCTACAATTCAAATCTCTCAGTTTTTCTGAAGAAGCTGAAAGCCTCCTACTTTTTGGTGAAAAGTTATCTTGCAGAATACAAATCATCATCAATTTCACAGGATTAAAATCCTGAGCCCTTGACTTGCCCAAGGCATTTCTTTAGCCATGGAAGAAGAAACAAAGACTGTCTAATGACAGCAAAAGTCACCTGCACAACAGCAATGGATGAACAGAAAACAGCTGCGTTTGGCAATAAACCAGGTCGTGTTCCAATTAAGTTTTTGAGTATTTTATGGAAGCCATTCAGTCATGAATGAATTCAACATCAAGAAAGATATCTGGCAACCTTTAAGTACTTTTACAGAAACATATATTCCAGCAGAGAACATGCTAGAAATCCTTGCCATCCTTAGACATTTTTATAGAAAGCTCTGTGCCTAGAGAGAAGAAATAAAGGCTTCTTGTAACAACAATCTCAATTTTCTTTACTGAGACTTCAGCTCAAAGCTGAGCTCCAAGTGAATAACAGGGCAAAGTTGCTCAGCTTCTCTAGCAGCCTTCCCAGTGACAATTTTTCTCTTTAGAAGGGTATTCTACAAGTTTTCTGTTAACTGCTTTTTTTCCCCAAGCTGCTCTCTGTATTACAGCTTTCTGTGGGCAGGGGAACCCTCTCCATGTCTGGTCAGATAGAGGAACATTACTTGTTCAGCTTGATAAAGGGTATCTACTTGGAAAACTGAAAACTACACTGATTAATTTAAACAGCAGCATCTTATCTAGGGCTTCCTCTATCTACACACCAATACTGTTAGAATTAAACAAACAAGCTCAGACTAGATGCTGATTTAACTAGTACAGAAACCTTGAGAGATCTGAATGTACTTAATATCTAGAGCAGAAGGACATTTTGGAAATATTAGATATAAATAAAACTCCGCTGAATTACCTAGGTCTGTTGAAATAAACAAGTTTGCAACAGACTGGTTAGATGCATTACCAATAAAAACATCAGTATTGACTAATTAGGGAAATGGAAAACAAACAAAAAAGTAAGCATAAAGATTAGCCCTAGGTTACTTCTGTCCGATGGAGTAAAATGCAGTAAAAATCAGTATCAATTCCATGCTTAACACTGCATGTAATCACTAGGTGCAGCCTTGTGTCATGATGCTGCAGCAAGTTTCCAGCCCTTTGTTCTGGAAACATTCTTACAAACACTATTCAGAGGAATGGAGTATGGATTGGAAAGGGATATTTCTGAGATGATGTGGGCTTGAAAAACTCTCAGTACTCTGAACTAGCACAACCACTCATTTTATAGTCTGGCTGTTATAAATATGTCTTTGTCACACCTGAAGTTTCACCTCTTCTATTAATGGATGACATACCCAGTAGCAAATAGAGCTTTATGATCCTTGCATGGTTTGCACAGCAGAAAACCTGTTAGCGGAGTTTCCTGAGTAACACCATTCATTTACACAGTGTTCAGCTACTGTAAAGCACGTCAGAGACAGGCAAGCAGTTCTTTTCATGGCAGGGTATGATGTGAAAGAGGCCTTGGTAGCTGTGTGGTGTTGTGAGGCTTGTGATACATGGCTTTAACGTCTCTCTGTATCTGATCTGAAACCTGTAGTCACACGACTTCCTAGGTCTAATACAATGTATAGCTAAGGTAACATTATGGATCTGTTGTTGAAAAGTTGGGAAACCCCATGTGTCTGTGTCTGTGTGTGTGAATCTGAGTTTAACTTACAAAGTTTTTAACTCCACAGGGTTATAATTTCTTACCAATACCTTCAGTAGTGTTCACAATGTAAAACGGAATAGGCACTAAACTGTGAATTGCGTACTGAACTGTTCATAAAAATTAGGATTTGGAACAAAGGCACTTTAAAGAATTAAGTTTACTGGAAACTCAGGACAGCCACATTTTTGGTCTGTATTCTAGTTTTTTTTGGGGGGGGGGGGGGGTTGCAGCTTTTTAGGGAAAAGCTCATGTCAATTATTTGTACTGTTGGAGCAGGTGTCCTTCTAGACTACTGCCACCGACACCCAAGCAAAGGAAGGGTATGACAGGCTGGTGTGGGTGCACGTACTCTCTCATAGGCTAACAAGCCCAGAAAAAGGCAAAAAGCCTGGGATAAAGCCTTGCATAATTTTAGCATGTTCAGAAGCATATCATCTTTTTGCATTTTAAGTTGAAAGACTCTTCTGGAGCCAAACCTTTTGGGAATATGTTTTTAATCAAAGAAGTAAGATTTAACCTTTAACTCTTCACCCTTTTTCCTTCTCCCTGTAAAACCAGTAGGAAAACCCCCACATAGTTTTTGCAATGAAATTTAACTGCATTCACCTATGAGCAGACTCAGACAGTTTTCTTAAAAACAAAGTAGGATTAGCATCTAACGTAATATTTCTTTGTTGTAATCTTATGCGTTTTTGTGTGACTGAAGGAAGGAGCTTCTAAAGGAAGGGTCAGATTCAGGTTCTGGTGAAATCAGGGTCTAAATCCACACTAATGACAATGGGACCAGCATTTAGGACCAGAGGAGAAAAACTCTTCCACTTAAACATGTTTAAAACAGAGACTTAATTGACCCACTGCCAGGAGCTCTCTAGGAAATGAGATTTTGGTCATACTTGCAGAAACACGTGTTTTAGACCTGTGTGCTAACATCTGGATGATATTTATTGTCCTAGAGGAAACCCCGAAACCTTTAAAAACACGAGCTTTACTGGGGTGCTTTCAAACTCTCTGCTATTTTTCCTCATCGTTCACTTGGCTGGGGTTTCTCCCAGCACGGCTGTGAAATGCCAAAGGCCCAGGTGGGATCTCCAAACCAGCACTCCGACCGGCCCCTTCGCCCCGGGTAGAAGCGGGCTCGGGGGGCGTTCGGCCCGGTACTGACAGACTGACAGACACACAGACGCACAGACAGACAGACCTCCCGCTACTCTGCACGGTTACGGCAACAGTTTTATTCTCGATTAAACTTTTAAGTGCTGCTTGAATTGGCCGGGGGGGAGCTCTCCGGGCCAAGCGTTCCTGCCGGGGCAGCTCTGCCCGCCGCCCTTTGCCGCTTCCCCGCCCCGCCGAGGGTCGGGAAGGGGTGGCGGACGCCGGTTCCCCCCCCCCCCCCCGCCCCAAGTCGGAGCAGCACATTTTGGGCGGAGCGGCCCCGGTCCTGCCCCGGTCCTCCGTGGGGCGAGGTGGGGGGGGGAGGGCACGGCGGGACGAGCCTCCCACGCCGGTGGGGGCGGGAGCGGGGGGGGGGGGTGGGGGGGAAGGAAAGGGGGGCTGGCGGCAGGGGCTGGGCAGCCACTGGCACGGGAGCTCCCCCCCTCTCGCCTCGCCTCCCACGGCGGGGGATAAAGGCGCCTGGCCCGGCGCTCCGCGCCGCCGGAGCGGGCAGGCGGCCGGCGGGCGGGGGTCGGGCCGGGCCGGGCCCCGCCGCGCAGCCCCCTCCATGCGCCTCGCCGGCGGCGCCGGCTCCCCCCGGGCGGCCCCGGCTCCCGGGAACGGCAGCCGGTGGCGAGCGGTGGAACCCGGCGGCGGTAGCAGCCCCAGCCCCGAAGCGTGGTCGGGGTCGCCCAACGGCAGCCTGGGCGGCTGGGACCCCTTCGGGCGGGACGAGGAGCTGGCGAAGCTGGAGATCGCCGTGCTGGCCGTCACCTTCGCCGTGGCGGTGGTGGGCAACGGCAGCGTGCTGCTGGCCCTGCGGCGCACGCCGCGGAAGGCGTCCCGCATGCACCTCTTCATCCGCCACCTCAGCCTGGCCGACCTGGTGGTGGCCTTCTTCCAGGTGCTGCCCCAGCTCTGCTGGGAGGTGACCCACCGCTTCCACGGCCCCGACGGGCTCTGCCGCGTCGTCAAGCACCTGCAGGTCTTCGGCATGTTCGCCTCGGCGTACATGCTGGTGGCCATGACCGCCGACCGCTACATCGCCGTCTGCCACCCGCTGAAGACGCTGCAGCAGCCCACCAAGCGCTCCTACGGGATGATCGCGGCGGCCTGGGCGCTCAGCCTGCTGCTCAGCACCCCGCAGTACTTCATCTTCTCCCTCAGCGAGGTGGAGCGCGGCTCGCAGGTCTACGACTGCTGGGCGCACTTCATCATGCCCTGGGGGCCCCGCGCCTACATCACCTGGATCACCGGCGGCATCTTCGTCGCGCCCGTCTTCATCCTCGTCACCTGCTACGGCTTCATCTGCTACCACATCTGGCGCAACGTCCGGGGCAAGACGCGCCCGGGGGAGACGGCGGGCGGCGGGCGGCGGGGGGGCGGCGGCGGCCCGCGGCGGGGGCTGCTGCTCGCCCCCTGTGTCAGCAGCGTCAAGACCATCTCCCGCGCCAAGATCCGCACCGTCAAGATGACCTTCGTCATCATCTCGGCGTACGTCGTCTGCTGGGCGCCCTTCTTCACCATCCAGATGTGGTCCGTCTGGGACCAGCGCTTCCCCTGGGTCGGTAGGTGACGGGCGGGGGGTGGGGGTGTGTGGGGGTGGGTCCCTTGGGGTCCTCCGGGGTCCGGCAGCCTCTACCCTCCCCCTCGAGGCGGTGCGCGGCCCGTGGAGCCGAGCGTGGGGGAAACCGAGAGCGGGACCGGGGCGCGCCGTCCCGCCGAACGGGTCCCTCTCCCCCCGACACCCCGCGGAACGGCGGCTCAGCGCCCTCCGCCCCGCGCCGCCTTTGCACGGCGAGGTGAGGTGAGGGAGCCCCGGGGCCGCCGCCGGGACGGACGGGGCGGCCCCGGGAGCCGGCGGAGCGGCGCGGAGCGGAGCGGTGCGGAGCGGTGCGATGCGGTGCGGTGCGGAGCGGAGCGGTGCGGAGCGGAGCGGTGCGGAGCGGTGCGATGCGGTGCGGTGCGGAGCGGAGCGGTGCGGAGCGGAGCGGTGCGGAGCGGAGCGGAGCGGTGCGGTGCGGAGCGGTGCGGAGCGGTGCGGTGCGGTGCGGTGCGGAGCGGTGCGGAGCGGTGCGGAGCGGAGCGGTGCGGAGCGGTGCGGAGCGGAGCGGTGCGGTGCGGTGCGGAGCGGTGCGGTGCGGAGCGGAGCGGTGCGGAGCGGAGCGGAGCGGTGCGGAGCGGTGCGGTGCGGAGCGGTGCGGTGCGGTGCGGAGCGGAGCGGAGCGGTGCGGAGCGGTGCGGTGCGGAGCGGTGCAATGCGGTGCGGAGCGGTGCGGTGCGATGCGGAGCGGTGCGGTGCGGAGCGGTGCGGAGCGGTGCGGTGCGGTGCGGAGCGGAGCGGTGCGGAGCGGTGCGGAGCGGTGCGGAGCGGTGCGGTGCGGAGCGGTGCGGTGCGGTGCGGAGCGGAGCGGAGCGGTGCGGAGCGGTGCGGTGCGGAGCGGTGCAATGCGGTGCGGAGCGGTGCGGTGCGATGCGGAGCGGTGCGGTGCGGAGCGGTGCAGCGGCCGGGCTCCCGGGCGGGAGCAGCAGCCGCAGAGTTCTCATCCAGAGCAAAATTAGGGGATGGGAACTGAAGTATCTGCTGCCATGATTTGAACCCGCAACGTTTTCCTCCATTTGAAGCTGCCGATTAATACAACTTTAGAAACATGTTGTGTTATTATTAAGCACACGCATTTATATGTGTCACGAGTAATTATATGAGCAGGGAACTCGCTAAGCCTTCTTCCCTGCAACTTCCCTGCGTGTGCTTTCCTTGCTGTCTAATAACTGAGTAACACCCTGAACCCTTCCTCTCAACAGGGCAGGCACCTCTGAGTAGCTCCTTTAGTCAGCCACCAGTTCTCGTGAAACACTGGCAATTTAATATTTTGGAGATACCTGTTCCACTGTCAAATCTGGCTGAAAATAATTGGAGAGTTTAACACTGAGAAAGCAGCAAACAGAAATGTTGCCATTCATAATTTCTTGATTTTTTGTAAATACCCCCAAATTATCACTTACTGTAGCAAGAGCACTGATTACCCCTACTATGCAACTAAAGCCGAGCCTAAAATACAGATCTCTGCAGGGAAATGAAGACTTGCAGTAGACAAATAGATTTTTTTGATTTTTTTTTTTTTTTTTTTTACTTCAAAAGAAATGCGAACCTAATTGAACAGATGTGTATTTGGTAGGCTTGTTTGCAGAGATTCTTTAAAACTATGGAACTGCATAACACAGTGATTATGCTTCTTTGGAGATTCAATATTTACAAAGGACGATCACTAATAATTGATCAGATTAAATATATCTTTACAGTATTTGATGATTGGATTGAAGGTAGAAGACCTTAACTGTTTTATGGCATAGGGCTAACTTCCATTTTTCCCTTAAGTAAAATTTGTTCAATCTCTGAAATCCCGATTTGATTCACAAGCCAGTAGTTACTTGAGCATTCAGTGCTCTTCAGCATGCAGATGTATGCAGCAAAATTCAGTATTACTGAAAACAGTGGGAAATCAGTGGGCAATCAGTGGGAATTTTGCCATTGAATCCCAGGGTAACCAATTTTTAAAACAAAAGCTTGAATAAAAACTGTTCAGTATTTAAAGTATGAGCTTATCATCAAGACATGGATAACCATCAGTGGAAACGGGACTAAAGGATTATTTTGGATGGATTGCCCTATAACTTGTTCTGTCACAGCTTTCTGAAGGCTGTTCAAACAAATTCCTGCTGACCTTACATAAATAAGAACTTACATAAATAAGAACTTTCTCGATTATGTCCTCATTATTCATTTCAAATTCTGCTGCTCAACTTTCAGAACTAAGATTATTCAGGAAAATAAATCCAACAGTTAATGAAGTGATTGACAGAATGGTGCAAATGTTCTTTTGATGATTAAACCGCTTTTCCCCCCCCTCCCCAGATTCTGAGAACACTGCGACTACCGTCACGGCTCTGTTGGCCAGCCTGAACAGTTGCTGTAACCCGTGGATCTACATGTTCTTCAGCGGGCACCTCCTGCAAGACTGCATACAGAGCTTCCCTTGCTGCCAAAAAATAAAGCAAACGCTGAGTAAAGAAGATTCAAACAGCAACAGCAGGCGACAGACTTCTTTTACCAACAACAGAAGCCCAACCCACAGCCTGAACACCTGGAGAGAGTCGCCCCACTCCAAATCGACCAGCTTCATTCCCATTCCAACCTGAGGCGGGCCCTGGGGCCGGCCAGGCTTGCAGCCCCCAAACAGCGCGTGGGAAGGTCACGGCACGGCACCGTGCGCCGGTCAAAGGCACCGGTCGCGGTAACGAGGAATGACCAACACGGCCGTAAGGCAAAACGCGCCGCCTTGCTCGGCACGCTGTTCTGCAGCGTGGAAATTATTTGCTGAAAGGTATTTAGGACTTGGGCAACTGATCGGGAAGGCCTGATGACAATAAAGCAATTATTTTTCTAAATAGGATTTCTTATTTAATTTTGTTTGTGTGTTTGTTTCTCAAATACTAAGTGCATTGTTTGCTTGTTCAAAGCAGTAAAAATAGTGGAGGTGGCATGTGTTGTGGTAACTCCGCTCTCTAGTGTTAATGCGTAAAACTTCTCATGATTCTCCGATGAAGTCACAGGGAAAGAAGATGATACGAGCAGGATTGCAATTTAGTCTTAAACACACAAAGAAAAGCACTGGGAGAAAGTCCTGACTATCCAGATAAGGAACATGGTTAGACAGGCTCTGAGTTATTGAGAATTTATTGATCATACTGCTTTATCTTGTACAGGTCTAGCAATTATCAGTGAATGAAACTTAACCGTCCTTGTAAAGGCAAATCCTTCAGTGCTGTCACTGTCTGTATGTGTGCTGTGGGGTTTCATTTTTAGGGTGACATTTCCTCTTCCCTTCACACTGATGGAAGTTATACAACCAATTTTTATTGTCTTGTTGCACCTACCTTGCTTTTTTTAAACTAATTCAAAAAAATACATTGGTAAATAAGTATGATAAGCTGTGACTAGCTCAGCACTGCTACAAACAGATATACCAAGAAAATTCATCATCATGACTACCAGAACCACTTGCTTTATGTGTAAGAGTTACACCTTTTCTTTTTCCTTCACTAAGACAGATAGGATCAAGCGACACTTAGTTGTCAAGCAAATAGCCCTATAAATTTAGGAGAATGTGGCTGTTTGGTAAGAGCTGAAGAATCAGTATATTCCAACACACAGATCTGAGAATCAAACTTACAAGTCTTTTGGGAACATATAAAAATTGTCAGCGTTATTGGTTTGGGGTTTTTCTGGCAGATCTGGAAGACAATAGAGTCTTCGAAATTGGCAGTAAACTGCCACAAAAAGTCATCAAAACTCATTTACTTATATTGAATTATAAAGCATTCAAGTTGTGCCTGTTTTCACTACAGTGCACACAGAGTCAAATGTAGTTCCTACAGCTCATCAATAATCCTGTTACGGCTTTCCGTGGAGCCTGTTTTTCACATGGATTTTGGGTTTTGAAGCTCCGTGAATAAGTTTTGCTGTGGTTTTGAAGTCATGAGGATCTCTTTGAGAAGTACAGCTACCTGTCTGCTCCATTCTCCCAAGCTTTCTGGGTCCTGAAATCCAGACATTTCCCTGGCACCACGCAGGACTTTGCTGCAGTCCCAGCTGGCTCGCTGGAGCAGCGGCACATGTGCACGGCCGCATAACGCATGTACTTATGTTTGCAAGGAGGAACATCAGCAGCAGGCTTCTCTATTTCCCACCCAAACCAGACAAACAAGATTGCTTTTCTAACTGCTCGAGGAGAGAAGAAATCAGGGCTGCAACTGTGGCTTTCACTAAGGATGGTGCCAGCCCCATGCCTGTCACAGTAACAGTAGCAGAAATTTATTAATTTCTAGCTAGGTGCAGAGTAAAATCCTATTCAATCTGTTGTCCACTCCAGAAGCTCCCAGACATATCACTGACTATTCCAGGGAAAGAATAGGGAAGATTATAGCTAAAAAATTAAAATTCAGATTTTGTTGTCACTAAAGAAAATCTTAGCTCTTCTCTCTACATTTCTTGTTATCATTTTCTGCTCTTCAGGAGAGCAATCTGGTCGAATGTGTCTTTCTAGTCATTGTTCAAAACACTAGAACCCAAAGGACAGCATGGTGGAATGGCTTATATTTAATAAACTATCTTTCTGGACACCTCTAGTACACAGATGTGACTACAGCTCTCACCAGTTCTGGGTGAAGGTTTGTGAATCTGAAGTTATGTTTTAGTCCAAAACCAAATGCATGCAGTGGTGTTAGGTGTATGTGTATTTGTGCACATTATATGTACTGCATATATTTCACAAGTAGGTAATTCACAGTTACTGAAATTTCAAATGTTTCAAGATAAGTACACTATATTTTGCCTAGTTTTTTATTTGTGTTACTACTTTCTTTGTACATAAAATATATATTAAAAAGCAATTAGCTGTACTAACAGAATTTTCATGTTTGTGGAATTGAATTATTTTTCTATTACACTTTATAATCAAACAGAGAAGACAGCGAGAAAAAAAATGTAGAGTAATGTTGATAATAAAACTAAGCTGGGTAATGACCAATATATATAAAAAAGTAAACAGACTCAGAATTATAATTTTCAGTTTCTTCTAAATATGTTACAAAATCTAGGCTTACACTTGGGGCTTGTTAACATAAATGTACCCTATGAGTCTTCTACAGTTTCTGTAATTAAATTGACAACACTATTTAGCAGTATTTGGATTCCAAGCATTTTTTTGTCAATACTGTGCCTTGTTTTTTCATATAATTGAAACACTGTAAAATACAGACCATATTTTTTAATTGTTCATCTGTGGAGATGTGGGGTTTTTTAACAGCTGCTTTGGGTTATCATGAGGGCACACTAATGAAAACAGAAGGAAACAAGAAATTGTGAAACCATTGCACGTTTAAAACATGGAAACTTGCTCTAATAAACCTGTATATTTGTTTGATGAGAAGCGTTTTGTTTCTTTTGCTTGACTAGATTTTTTTGCAAGTCTAGAAACATATTTAGTGACACTCCATATATTTTACAAAAAATGTAAAATTTCTTCATTAATTTTAATGAGTTGTTTCCATTAAAAGCTTTGAAGTGAACAAAACTAAAAAGTTTTTCTATTACACAAAGTGCATGAAGGGCACATGCAAAGGAGGAATGTGCAGTCAGCTTTCCACTGTATGCTGCTAGTATTGCTAAAATATGTAACATAGCATTCACATTCTGAAGTGGTTATACTGATATCTTCATTTTAATTTGGGGGAACAAAATATTTATCTTCTAATGCAAAATATGATTGATTGGATGAGAGTGCACTCTGTTGTTTGTGATGGTGTTACTGGAATTGCAACATATGAAAGACAATTAAATGGCAGAAGTGGACAATTAAATGGCTGAAGTTTGTCACTAATTTCTTTCTAAATTTGTAGGTAAACATATTGTTGGCTCAGAAAAAAAAAAAAAAGTTTTTTCTGTATTACCACATCAAGACCAAAGTATACAAGATGATACAAGTTCACATGTGCCCAATCCTGCAAAGACAAGGATTTTGTCTGCAGGAAATCTTATGTCCAGTTCCAGATCGAAGGACCTTATTAAAGTGCACGCATGGTCCTTTCCAATTCGTACATATGGAAACCAGGGCAAAAAAAGGAAAGGAGTTGCAGAGGTGAATGTCATCCCAAGGCACGTACTGCTGAACCAGCCTTGGGAAGTGAACCCAGATCTTACAGTAGGGCTATTGCTGAAATAGTTACTTGCTGTGTAGGGGAAGCTCTTACACAGTTGTCCTGGTCTGAGTTCCCCACCTACAGAAAGGAGTAATTAAATACAGTGTCCTCTTCCAAAAAGTGTCTGCATGAGTTTCAGCTGTGCAGTCCCTTCTGTACAGGGTCGGGAAAAGACACTTCTGTACATGGAAGACTGGAGAGGCAGAAAGAAGCAAGTGGGCTTCAACATTAGTTTGGAGTTTTAGTTACTGTTATAAGATAGTTTTCTATGTTTGTTCTTTAAGGAATGGGCTTTACTAGAAAATGTAGCACTTGCTACTTGGCTGAAGGAATTACAGGATATGCAAATGAACAGGTTTCAAGGTCCAGGAATAGATCACAGCTGCTCCACAGGGAACAGTCCTGACTGGTTCAGGTAACAGTCCCTCACACAAGAGCAGGTTCAGGTAGTCTTGAAAAAGGCAGAACTGTTGAAGGTAATGTAAGTCACGCAGAGTGCTTTGTGCAGGTATGCAAACAGCAAGCAAATAACAATCACGACTAGTCCCTGCTGAGCTTTGTTAGAGCCAGCCAGCATGGGTCTGCCTCTTCCAGGACTAGTCCTGCAGAAAGTCCTGGATCTGTACTGTGTTATTGGATTAATACAGTATCGCTGTTTTGGTAAAACTGCTCAGTAATTTGTCATGTCTTAGTATAAACTTGCTTGGAGTAACAGTTTACATGCAAATTAGCCTTAGGTCTTCATAAGGACATTTTTAGCTGAATTCCTGACACAGTCCATTGGGTTACTCCATTTCTGAAAAGCAAAGCTGTGAGACAGCATTGGGAGTGCAAATCTCTCTTCCCAGCTATACGGTGGGGAGACCAGCAAGTCTCTCTAGTTCCAGGTGGACCAAGATTTTGAGTATAGGTGGACTTACAGAGGCTCAGGTGCTGGCAGGACACCGGGAGGTCCGGACTGTACCTCCAAGTGACTGTGGCTGCATATCCAGTACTGGTCAAGTTAATTTACTTGTGCCTGAGTTATTCATCTGTAGTTCAGGGTAATGATGTTTATCTTCCCCCATAAGTTCTTACAGGACACAAGAATAAGAACTGCTATGTATGAGTTCAATACTTTTCTAGCAAAGCACTGGCAATACAGGCTGTAGGTGGTCCATCAGCTTTTACACCTTTGAAGCAAAACATGACAGAACTGTCATTACAAACTACTTGGCTTTCCAGGGCATGAAGTGTGTTCTGGAAGGTAAGGAATAAGTAACCAGAGACTGGCACATTGGCTGCCCTGGCCTCTTCTACCACTACAGCAGTGATTGCTCCTGCTACAGTCTCTCCTGTCCCTGGTAGTGATAGATACAGCAAGAATGGGGACAGGGACCACAAGAGCAGCAGCAGACAGGGTTGTCATTAAAGCACATTAATTTTACACTCCTTTTGGAGGGAGGAATGTGGGTCCTATCAAATAAAAAAACCCACAGTGAATATGGAGAGATGAACCAGTGGCTCAGAGAGCAAATAAACCATGTCTTAGCCCAAAGACGGTTTGAAAGTATCAAGACACTTTCCATGTTACAATTGTAAGGTATGCTTTGTATTTGTAGAAAAGGACCCCCTTGTTTCCTGGAACTATAACTACATGAAGCTTTTTACAAATCTAGTGAGTGTCTCTGCTGAGATGGCTAGCTACAAGGCTATGTCTAAAAAAGGACAATGGACTCTTCAAGTTAAGCATTCAACATGTGACTTGTAGGGTCTTGCCCCCCACAATACAGGCATGTCCTGTGGGAAATGTGGGCAGCCACAGAGCTTTCAGGGAGGAGAAAGGAAGAAGCCTAAATACCAATCCCCTTTTTGGAAAGAGGTGATAAAGTCAAGCTAAAAGTCATAATAGATGCCTAAATCTTCAAGCCAAAAGGCATCAGTCTTCCTTCTATTTTAGAAAGCTTTTTGGTTGAAGATGTTGTGAAAGAGATGAACGGTGGATGAAGAACTCAAAGGATTAGGAGGCATTTAACATTGTATCATCCTTATCTAAAGGAGAAAATTGCTTAGGCACTGCTCAGATGTTTTTATAGGTAAGAATAGTAACTGTACAAAATAGTGGCAAAAGTAACAAAAAAATGATTGGCAAATGCTCTCTCCTGGCTCACTGTAAAGCAGGCAGAGTTATGCAGTAGGCATCTGCAAACTGATGTAGGCACAAACAAATGCATCCTCTGAGATACTGCAGGTGTTGGTCACCTCAGAAGAAACCACCAATAATGATTCACTCTATCATTGGCTGAGATCAGAAAAACAAGGAAATCAAATCGTCAGACTAATTTGCTACACACTTAATGTGAGTAATTCTCTTCCAGAGAAGGAGCAAACATCATTAAATAGTCACCATAATATTTCCTAAACGTGAGACATTTCAGTGTTTCCATGGGAGCAAAGGAGGGCTTCCAGGTATTACATGAGACACTAGAGCTAAGAACTGAGTTCAGTAAGACACTTGGGCATTCAGATGGATTTTAGTCTTTATGAAGTCCTATTATCTTCAGTAATCCAAACACTGTGAGGACAATCAGGGCAGTAATTATATGTAGTAAATAACAAACAAAAGTAAAAGATCCATTTGTGTGTCTATACATAATCTCATTTCCCAAACCAAATTGTACTTGTCTTTTTCAAAAGAAATTATCAGGGATTTAGTTATGTATGTCTGATAACCTCGTTCACCATGAAGCTGATGTTCAGAGGCTCAAGTTCTGATATATGGTTACAGCTGTTCATTATTAAATTGATAGGTTTGAAGCTTATCAGTTAGCAACATGTTATTAAATGTAATAGAAGCTGGGAAAATAGGGAGATCTGCCTTTGTTTTCTCTCTCTCTTTTTTTTTTTTTTTTTTTTTTTTTTTTCTTTTCATCTATTATGCCAATTCCCCTGAAAAGCTACATTTTAAATATGCTGGAGGTGAGATGATCCAAAGCACCATGAAGAATCCCAGCTTGACATGCTCTTTCAACACAAGATTTATCATTATCACTTGGTCCTCTGTCTCACAGAGTTCACAGTGTGAGGCATGGTGTAATTAGACAACAGATTCTCATTTCTTCCCAAATTTATGACCCAAATGCCTCCATACAGGCACCCAAAGCTGGAGAACACAAAGATGGAATTCATCGGCGGGAACGTACCTACAGTGTGGGTGTGTCCATCTGAGCAAGAGTGATTATTTTTGTAGCCAGGGCAGAGCTAGTTTTCAGAGTCCAGGGAGTCATCATATGGATGATGTCAATTGATATATGGACCAGAAGACTAATTATTCATTGATTGTAGTGGCAGGTAGAAAACTAGCTCAGCAGTACACCTGTACTGCAGATAGCTGTCTACTGGTGCTATCAGTTTTATTGTCAGATTTCAGTAGAATCCTCCACATTACTAGTTCAGGATTTTACTTTATTTCAGGGCAACTACAAAATGTTACTATCTAATAGCATCATATTAATTTGAATGGAGCTGATGATGTTATCCTGATAGCTAACAAAGGGTGGTTCATATTGCAAAGGTTCTGCCAGCTGGGTGCCTTTGTTGGTCACGTCACAAGAAAGACAAAGACCAAAACAAAAATGAGCCTAGAGGTCAATTTACCTTCTCACACCCAGATGACATCTCTAGCCTTACAAAGAGGGAATGATCTCTACATCTAATCTCTTCATGTGTCCCATCTGTGCATGCTGAACCTTTTCAGATTTCATCGCCTTTGTGTTTAAATGTGGATTTGCGAGAAAATCCTTAATTAGGCAGAACTCTCGAGATACTCAGATAATACAGTCCTAAGGGTCAATGTACAACATAGAAAGATATATCTTATTACACAAAGAGTTAGGACGTGAGAAAAAATATGTCAGGATAATACCTAAAATTCTTGGTAATATTGTGTGGAGAAAAAGGTGATAATAAGGAAAGCGGGAGTGGCACGTTAGGTATCTGCCATGTACATACAGCATACGAAGTCCTGCTTTCCTAAGAAACTGCCCAATTATAAAAACTTTGAGGATATAATCAGTGTAAAATGATTTGCACCTGATGCCATCAATGACTGTTTTCAACATGAGCAGCGTTGGAACTAAAAAGGAAGCAACGATTCTGGTCAACAACTTTCCCTCCCAAGTGTTAAAATGAAAAGTAAAAGCAATGTAATGGTTTAATGAAAAAAACAGATTTGACCTCTTTGTTGGAAAGTGTCTTTTTCCTACCAAAGACGTCAAGTTCTTGTAAAATAAAGAAGCAAACT